TAGGAAACCAGTTGGAGTTCAGACGGTTTTTGGGTACATGATGCTTATAAACATGATCACTATGATACAGGGAAATTGGCTAAAAGAACATGCCAGATTCATGTTTGATCAGCATGGAAAAGATGTGGCACTCCTATATGAACATCCAGAGAAAGTAGGTGACTTCTCTTTCCTCCCTACACTAATAGCCGACCCCCAGGTGGTGCTCGGGGGGTTACAAGGAACTATTCAAAATCCCACCATATTTTCCCAGGTCCCCGATGGATTAAAACACATTAAATTCAGACGAATAAGATATACTGCCACCACGAGGGGAATGTGTTTTTGTTGTGCAAACAAGGGTACATGGAATCAAAAATGGAAAGGCTGGGAACACAGAAAAGCCTTCCTAACAAGGTTGACAAATTACACTCACTGTCAGGACAAGTTTTATTTGTATGGAACCTATAACTCTACATATGTTAACAAACAAAATTTGGCAGACACGGATTGGAAAGAACTATACCCTGAGTACCCACTGTTTGAGTCAAATTACACGTCCCTGAGAAATGGAGGCAGTATTTGTTCAGGATGGCATATTAGAGATCCCAATATGTGGTTTTTCTTTGATAAATGGGCAACCAATTTTCATCCAGGAGGAAACCAGTGTGTTGGGGTAGGATACCTGACATTCCCTGTACGAGTCCTTAAACACCCTAGGAGGCTTCAGAGATCTTTGAAAGCCATAGCACCCCTAGGACCTGAGTGCTCAGACGAAGTGATTATAGACTCACAACTGTCCGAAACTGAAGGCTCAAGGGTAGGAGGAGGATTAATAACAGGGCTCCTAACCCTCGGGTCCTATCCTGGAATAATGGCCCAAGAAAACAGGAAAAGTATCATGGGACTCACATGTAGATTAGAGAAAAGCATAAATGCCACAGGGAAAATAGTTAGGCAGTTGCAATCAGAAATTGAAGAACTAAGCCAAATGACAATGCAACACAAGCTAGCCCTAGATTATTTGTTGGCAACAAAAGGAGGATTCTGTTCTGTAATAAAGGGCCAGTGCGTGGTCCAATTTCATAATCTGAACCAAACAATTGAAGATGATTTGGAAAAATTGCAAGAGTTAATAAATCATAATGTAAAGTTAGATAGATGGCAACCTTTCTCATGGTTGACGTCTCTGCTTCCTTCAGTATCATGGCTTAGAGAAATAATACTTGTGA